ATATTAAAATAACACTTTGACATTTAGATAATGTCTCCCATATTTAACAGTTTTTAAACAACAAAGGAAGATATTCAAGATTTTTTAAAAAGAAAAACCACAACTCTAATTTGAAACTGAAGGTCTATGTCATTAATCATGGCTCTCACTTTCATTTATTTTATTGCTTCTTTAAATATAATTTTATCTTGGCTATTACCTATAAGCAGAAGATATTTGATGTTTTCTCATCATGTTTGCATAGTTTTAATGAAGTAGGATAAAATATGAAAGTAGACAAAAGGGAGACAAAGGATATTATAATTTTAAAAATGAACATGTAGCAGTTTTAGGACACATGCTTTGTTTATTTATTTATTTTTCTCTCCTCCAAGAGTACAGTTGGTTACTAACAAGTGATTTTGACCATTGCCTTGTGGAGAAAACTGGTCTTTGGGGTGATGTCCAAGGAAAGCAATTTTCTTAAATGATGGACATTTTTGAGTCCCAAACACTTTAGATAAAAAGACATTCTCAAAATTACTCTTTTGATCTCTCTCTCTCTCTCTCTCTCTCTCTCTCTCTCTCTCTCTCTCTCTCTCCCAAAGGGCTTAAGGTCAGTCTGCACAATGGTATGCCTTCCCTCTTTACGGGGCTGGGAACATGTCATAGCCATGCAGATTCAAGTGGTCATTCAGGTGATGGTTGATATTATTTTCCTCAGGATCTGGTGAAGTCCGTGGACTCAGGCCAAAAAGGAGCCCACGGGTTTACTATTTTTAACTGCTTGCCATTAGAAAACTCAATTCTCTGTCCCTTCTCTCCCATGCAGGCTTTCATCTGTGATAGAACTCAAATCTTGTAACTTTTTCTGACATTAGTTATCAGGAGAGGCACGGAGTTGCAGGGTAGAAAAGATTAATAGGAACTGAGAAACCACGGAAGTTTTCTACACCAGCAGGGACAGTTGTTAGTGTGTCTCACCAAATGGAAGAGGCTGGGGGAAGGTGTGCATATTTTCCCAGGTGTTAGAAGAGGCCTAGAAACCTGGGGAAAGGGGGCCACTTCAGCCAGTCTCAGCTATCTGCCATGTTGTTCCTGGGTCCTAGTGTTACCTGTTAAGCCCTGCTAATTTATTTTATTTTATTTATTTATTTATTTATTTATTTATTTATTTATTTATTTATTTATTTATTTTTTATGGCGCCTCATGGTGCTTGTTTCTATAATGCTAACTTGATTATTCCTCCATGTCCTTGGGTTCTGTTAATATTTTAATTTCGGTCTCAAGTTATCTCCCTATCTAAAATGGCACGTGATCTGTAGTTGCTAATTAATGTCACCAAACTTTTTAAACCCTCTATGAGTTTCTTGGGTATGTTACAGGTCTCCAGATAGAAAGATCTTTGGGGTGAAATTATGAGAAAAACCCAACTCTTGTGTACAGCTCCTTTTCCTGCCTTCCTGCTTTGTTGATGAAGGTTAAAATAATTATATGACAGAAACAAGGATGCTTGTTCTATGTAAAAGGAACTGAGTTTTACATACCTGTCAGAGATGACTGGATAGCCAATGACAAAAAAACAAAGCACAGGTGCTCCCCAGTTAGTTTTCACTGTGGGGTTACAGAGCACAGCTGCTCTCTACCCAGCGGTTCTGGCACTGGGAAATGGAACACACTCACATACCATGACCCCAGCTCTGGGCAGGTTGCATATGGCCCAACTTTACTTTGGAAGCATTGAACATACAGTGTGTACACCGTGCAGGCTATGAAGGGCCTGACCCTACTTTGGGGACCCAACACACACATGGTGGGTTCACAGTGTTTGGGTGCCCTGTCACCATACAGGAGTAGGACACCAGTTTGGGGCACACTGCTGTACATGCAGCTCAACCCCAGTTTAGGAAGTGACCCCAGTTTGGGATGGAGTGTGCATGGAGTTTGTCCCCAGAATGAGGCAGGTGACTTAGGCCATCTGACCTCAAGGAACTTAATAGGATCTCATTTTCTTTGGTTTTTTCCTTTCCTCTCTGTCTTTATTTCTTTATCTAAATTACACAAGGGAGAACCTAAAGGTACATGGTACATCTTAAATGATTATGGTGAATTTGTTGACCATCTCTAGAACAGTACATTTATGTTGTATTTTAAGAGCTTGAGACCAATTTAAAATGAAAGATTTTACAATGTTGATTTTTCTCCATATATGTTAGAATAAAAAGACTTGAAACAATTTTATAGTAAGCAGGGCAAATAAATAAAGATCCTATCAATTAGTATCTCTCTTTCCCCTTAGGACAGTTATTGGTTAAAATGTAAAAGTATATAGTGTAAGAATGCTTTGTTTCCCTAAAATAAGAGGGAAAATAATCAGCCTTGAAAACTAGAGATCGAACATGCTAGCCCCAATCAGCTTAACATTGCCAGTGCTATGCTTTGGTTCATCTGAGTAATCAAGTAATTATTAAGATGAGTAAATAAGTAAATATAAATAAGATTAATGTTTATAAGTTTCATAACAATATCTATGTCATCAATTACTAAATACAAATTCAAGCATGATTTAAAGCTTATAAAAAGAATATATTTTGGCATATTAAAATGTGTCTTTACAAATTATTAACATGTAAAGATTTATGATTGCTTGCTTAAGTTGACTGGGCATTAAATTTCAAAAAAATACACTAAAATATTATTTTAAAGAGTTCTCCTAAAAAAAAAATCTCCTAAGTAGAAGTCACTGAACATGCAATATGACCCTGGCACTACACAGGCCTAACAAAATCTTGCAGGCCTAAGAAAATCACTGGACAAAATTCAACTCTGTTCAAAAAAGCAGAAGCATGGATAAATTCACTCCACTGCAAATTTTCTCCACTCATAGAGTGTCTTCAGATTTTCTGTAGAATCTTTGTTTGACCCACTGTGACAAATCCCACTACAACAAATGTTATTAAGGAAATGTGTATATATACACAGAGAGAGAGAGAGGGAGAGAGAGAGTTGGTTATAATCAAAAGCAATAAGGTTTTTTAAATTTTAAATGCTCTTGCTAAATTTATAAAAACTAGACTTAAAAGACAAAAGTTTTAATTTTACTGAAATAATTTATTATAATTTCCAGTGTTAGGTTTTTGGTTACTTAACAAAATGAGTTCAAAGAGTTAAAAATTGTTTAAATGAGGACATAGGAAATGTTTTCAACAATCAGTTTATAATTAGTTAAATAAATATTACCTCATTTTATAATATGTCCTATATATATGGAACTAGAGATATATCCATCTAAAGAAAAAAAATGATAAAATTGAATTTTATTATTTAAAAATTGTTTAAATGATGACATAGGAAATGTTTTCAACAATCAGTTTATAATTAGTTAAATAAATATTACCTCATTTTATAATATGTCCTATATATATGGAACTAGAGATATATCCATCTAAAGAAAAAAACTGATAAAATTGAATTTATGTTAATTCTAACACAGTCAATGTAAGAATTAGTGTCTTTATACACTATTTCTACATCTAGACCTTAGCTATGTAAAATGGTAATAATTTTTGACATCTCTTTAAATTTAAATCTGCCATTTGAAAGTTGATCTACTTCTATTAGCTTTGATTAAATAAATATCCTGTTACTGTATAAATGACATATGTATGTATTGGCTAATAAATCTATTTGTAGCCCTTAACAATCTTTCCTAACTTGTAAGTGCTATAAAGATGTCCTTTAATTTTTGTCACTGCAGTTATACTATACAAATTTATCAAAGAAATCTAAATTTGACCTAAGAGTAAAAAGATAAGAATGTAGGTGCAAAGATTTCCATATGGATGTAATGCTCATTATTGCTAACCTCATGGAAGTGTATATTACATACAACTGTATTTCCCAAACATACGTGTCATCTAGGATGAGGAGCTTAAAAAACATTACTGATAAAGCTGTGCTTGCTAATGGACACGTTCATGCTTATGTTTATGGGATTGTTATGTAATTATGTTATGATATTTAAATGTGACTAAAATTATGCACTTCACTTTAAAGATTGAAGGCTAGTACATTAGTAAATAAAATATATAAAATATAAGTATAAAATAATGTAAAAGCAAAAAGCACAAAATATAAGTACATTGTATTTAAAAAGCATATTGTAAAACATATTAGGGTAAAAGTTTATTTGTGCCATTTAATTTGTAATTGGATAAAAGTAACCAATTAAAAAGTTATTTATACTAGAAAAACTTTAAACACATTTTAAAGATTAAAATTAATGGTTCTAATATAATATTATCATATTGTTATGCTAAATTTTTTACTCTTATGGTAATGTAGGGTCATTAATTATGGGACAATTCCCACGCTTTCAAGAGAAGCCTTATGGTCAAGCAAAGACCCATCCTAGCAGGTGACACATCTGATGGAGGAAAACATTAAAATAGCTAAAAGGCTCTGTTTAGAGCTTCAGAAGTAATTCCATCATAAACTGACCTTAACAAATTTATTGAGAAAAAGAATAATTTTGATTAACACAGGTCATACTTTGACTTAATCGAGCAGGAAACTATATCCAAAATTTTTTAGACATAGAGAAAAAATAATAATAGAGAAAAGCAAGGGTAGATACAAAAAGGGGCTCCAAATGTAGCAGCTACTGATAACAGTCTCCAGCTGCACCTATAATTTATACCCGTAAAAAGTTGGATTATCAGCCTCACAAGCTATGCCAAAAATGTATCAGTCAGCTTCTCTTAATACATTCCTCTCATGTTATGAAACTACGCTTCAAATAACTCTTGGATAAAGATTTAGCTTCTTGTTTGTTATAATTAATATAAGAGGACATTGGTTTTCTTATTGATAAAACTGGGAAGGGTGGTTTTAAACTCATATTGTATTTGGATAAATTTCTCAGAATGAACAGAGGTTAATATCAAAGACAAAAAATCTTTATGCTAAATGTTAATGATGGCCATCATTTTTTGAAGACAACGTTCATCAATGGTCTACTGTTAATTTCTGGCCTGAGTCTATTTAGCCAGGTTATAGCATTACGCCTGTCTTAGTTACTTTCTCATTGTTGGGACAGAATAATCAAGACCTACAAGTAAAAGGAGGAAAAGTTTATTTAACTCACAGTTTGCAGAGATTTCAGTTCATAGCCAGGTGGATAAAGGCAGGGGAACATGGCAGAGGAGAAACAGTCCATGTCAAGGAAGGCAGAAGGAAAACAAAAATCACACAAAACAAAACAAAAAAGCAGCAATGAGCCTCCTTTTTCCATTTTATTCAATTCAGATGACAAGCCTAAGGGCCTGTGGGACGCACACCCAGGGTTGGTCATCTGTCTTCAATAAATCCATTCTGTCACACCGAGAATTATGCTAATATGATCAGTGGACTAATCCAATTTTTCCCACACCTTCATGCAGTATCACAAACCCTGGGTTCAGTCACCCACCTGTGCACACGTGAGACTCCGTGGGGGCATCTAGATGCTATAACAAATCCTTAGTGCCGATGACTTGGTAAAATCTCTTTTCTCTTTATAAAACTATCAGAAGATGAGCATTCTTCCTTTGTCTCTTTTAAATTAGGATAAGACTTTTGATCCCTGGAGAGGAAAGATCAATGCTACTTCTCAGCCTAAAGTAGATAAAGAATACAAAATATTGGGTCTTTTCTATTCCTTAAAAATAAGTAATCAAAATCTCAGAGTTGTGGGGCAGGATGAGGTAGGATAAAAAAAATAAAGTCTAGGCAAAATAAGATACAAGGAAAATATTAAAAATAAAAAAGGCAGCTTCAGGACATGAGCCTAGTTTATTTATTTATTTATTTAGTCCTTTATTTAATTTTTTCCCTTTTCTCAGAACATAATAAGCCTGGGCAATTCCCTTTCACCTATAAATGGGTTTGGCTACTCCCTTTCTCTTCTTACAAATGGTCCTCTTTGACCTATAAATAGACCACACTTTAATGTTTATATTATGATTTCCTATATATGGACAATTATTTAACTATGGGTGGATTATCTTCTCCCACCCACTATATAAGAATGAAGACTAGTGATCACAAAACTCTACACATTCCCACTAGAGAAAACACATAAAGATTCCCAGTTTCCAAGTATATTGTGTCCCATTTCTCTGAATACCAGCACTCTACTAGTGAGTGCATCCTAAAATCTCTACCTGATAAATCCCTTCCATACCTCTTACTTATGTCCTAAAAATTCTTTCTTTCATGGTGAGAGTCAGTGAACACACAAACTTTGTCTACAAAAGGGTGAGGCAAGGTCCTTATTTTAGCTTTAGGAGCTTCTCAGACACTGCCCAGTGACAATAAGAAAGAGATTGTTCTAAAGAAATTAATATCCAGTCACAGTGATATTGGACATTTGAGGAAGTCAGTACAAAAATGAGACACATCAAAATTGTGACTGGAGGTGAGTCTGAAGAGAGCCTATCTCAGAATGAAGTTTCAATAGCCAAGCCTGCCACCCTCCCTAGAGATGAACAATTTGAGATTATACTGAAACTAACAACCACCTGGTCCACTGAGCTCAGGCATCAAACACATAGGTGGGTGATCAGAACATCTGGAACCATACTCCCCTTCCTCTCCAGAAACACATTTGTTCTCTCCACATTTGCACCCTTGCTATGTGACTAGCTTTCCTATTGGATCAAGATGAGCTGAGCTACTATACTTGCAGGCTTGTAGGTTGAATGCAGTTTGATCCGAGTTGTATTCACATTGTGATTTTGCTATGTAAATTACTTCTAATTAAAGGCCTTGGAGGTCACTCACTCAGGACCCCTCCTTGAATTCCAAGAACTATTCTTTGTTTTTTGGTGGTTTTTTTTTGTACTGGGAATTGAACTCAGCACTTTGCACTTGCTAGGCAGGCGCTTGTGCCACTACGCAATCTCCCCAGCCCTCAACAACTAATCTCCATATTTCCAATAAACTCCCCTAACTTTCTCCTTTGAGTTGTGACTTCATTCCTCCCTGTCATAGGACCATGGAGCTGGCGCAACAGCTCCTTGCTACTTGTGCATTTCAAGCATCCTAAAGACACACCTGAACTTGTTTTGGTTATCTCCTGCATCAGCAGGCAGGCAACAGTGATAATCCTCAACTCACATACTTCAACATTTAACCCTGTCACCTTCCTATCTAGAGGCTGGACCTACATTCTTTTCCCCTGAGTCTGTTTGTGATATTCATAAGGCTTATAATATGTGACAAATGTTTTGCTGTGTGATTTCTCAGGGTAGGATATGAAAGACAATGAATCTTCTTTGTTTGTTGGTGTTTTCGCATACCTGACTGGTAAAATGTAACAAAAGTGGAATTCCAGAAGTGCTTATAGTAGTATGTCTTTCAGAGTAACATTTTTTGAAAAATTTAACCATTCACTGTGTATATTTTGATCATCCCTTGTATTTTTTTCTATTATATATATATGATATACATATATATATGAATCATAAGTGCATTAATCATGAGAATAAATATTTATCTTAAAATTCAAAGCTTTGAGGAACTTTGTTTCTTACAAATATATACAGTACACAAATTTGATATGGGAAGGGAGTGTGGCCATTAGAAAAGCTGAACCAGACTAAGGGAAACTCATGGCATTTGTTTTGGCAGTGAGCAGTGGGCAGAGAACAAAGTACGCGCAGGGCTTGAGGAGACGGGTAGCAGAAGACGCGGCTGCCCTGCTTGTGCACTTAGAGGGCAGTAAGTGGAACACTGGAGGTCAGAGAAAGGTAGATCCTTCTTATATGATTATGATGTATGGGCAGTAGTAATGGCCATTTCTTTTGATTTGGGGGCACAGTTTATCCACACTAGTTTAGAGCTATTTTAACATTCCCACTTACATTTGTGTATGCATATTGATATATGCAAAAAAAAAGACTTTTATACTTTATAGACAAATACAACACACTTAGACCAATAAAATATCTGTGAAAAATTATAAGAAAGAATTACTCTTTATTTCTACCCTTGTTTTTTTCATGTGGGAATGTTGGAATTTACATAAAAGATCACTCTTGCAAGGTAGGGTAGATTTTTAATGTCTATATAAAGCATGTCAGATTTCTTTGCCAACTTTGCCTGGACCATAGGGGTTCAGTGATTCTGTGCCATTTTTCTCACTCTTTTTATACCAGCTCTACCACCAAACTGTCATGCTGCTTCCACCCAAATACTTGTCCACCTGGAAAAACATGGGATGAAATACACTGTAGGAGATGAGATAGGAAGACTAAAGCTTAATTGGCCCCCTCTATGAGCACTATGTAGACAGGCAGTGTGCAAGCATGTTGACATGCTAGGAAAAAGGAAAAACAGCTGAGATCATGTTGTTTACCTGGACAATTACCTGGATGGTGGGGATGGATGAATTCTGCATAACTCTAATTGGTTGTACCGGTGTCTGAGTGAATAAAGCCAAGGTGTGCCATTCATTCAGGGATCCTTCTTGATGGCAGAAGAGAGCCCCCAGTCCTTCACATTTTAAACTATTCTGTGTTTGTTTGTGTTCCATCTTTATAGCCCCTCAGTCAAGTACAAGCTTGCAGGCAGGCTCCTGTAGATGGTGCCCAAAGAGGAACTTGACCAAAGAAGTCCACCTGGGGGAAAAGTTCAGTGAGTCAGTGATGGGGACTTCCTAAGCAGAGAGGTGCCAGCTGGCAAAAGAAAATGACAAAAGAAAAAGAAAAATGAAAAGGAAGAACATGAAGGCATGCAGTAGAGTCAGCCAGGGTAACGGGGCAGAGTTCATTGGCAGAAGCACAGCACTATACCACTTAGGTGGAAATTCTGGTGCACCAGTCTGGCGCCCAAGTTAGTACTCGGACGATGTGAGCATCCCATGTGGCAAGATGTTATCAAACATAGTCTTTGGATTCCTCAGATGGGCAAATTTGATGTAGAGTGGGGATCAAGTGAGAGATGATTTGGCTGTGGTGATACCAGGGAACTGGAATATCCCCTGAAATTTTCTCCACATGGAGCTTGGTTTGAGCAGTTCATAGTCCTTTAACTGCAGGAGAACGTCTAACAGTTAGTGCACACTTGATTGAGTGTGGGAATGAGGTTTACGATCCCTGTTCCCATTCTCTTTCTTCTCCTCCCTCTGTGGCTGAGACAGGAGTAGTGTCTCCTTATGAAAAATTTGTCAACCAGGGTGTGCTTAATGGAGAGCCCTTTTGGACATACACATTTCTAATTAATATTTACCCTGACTGTACTAATCCCCAACAAAATGCCCATGAGCACAATCCTTTGGAGTATAAATTGGTCAGAGAATTAAAACCCAGTGTCATGAACAATGGGATTCAGGGCCCTTTCTCATCGGACTTGTCAGAGATTGTCCTGGGAACTATGCATTTACCTTCTTTAGACATTAAGCATTTAGCTAAATCCTGCTTTTCTTCAGTGCAAAACTTAACTTTCCACAGTAATATTCAAGAGTTAGCAGCTGAGCAAGCTTGAAAGAATTGGGCAGCACAACACCCAGAGAGTATGGAAGAAATGCTGCAGGGAACAGGTCCACACTCAGACCTAATCTCACATTTAACCCTTCCAGGCCAGGCTGATCAGCAATAGGTCTCATAATGAAATGAGCTTCAGTAAATATTCCTGAAGACCATGTTCCCACTCAGTCATTTTTCCACATTCTTCAAGGCCTCCATGAGCCTTATGCCCAGATCTTAGCCTGATAGTATCTCTTGTTGGCAGATACCACATGCCCAGACACCAGAGATTACAGTGTTGCAGCTGGTTTTGGAGAATGTTAATAAGGGCTGTAAACAAGAACGAGGAAATGTCCCAGCGACTAAAACTCTTGGAAACTACTTGAAAGTAAGATGTGGCTATTGAAGACCATAAGTCCTCTGTGTTCACCCAAATTATATCTGATTTAATTAAACAACATCAGGCTTCTTCAAAAAGACATCGTTTCCTTCTTTCTCAGAGACTAAATGGGCTTTGATACCACATGGGTTATGCACAGGCCCAGAGAAAATTCAAACTCTCTCCCCTCAGAGTTACTTGCAAACTCTGGTCATGGAAAGCAGTTTGAGTCCAGAAATTAACATTAAGGACTCATTACAAATGCTGAATGGCTTCTAGAAATTCTTGGGGGACATTATCATCCAAAATGAGGAATTCCTACATGTCAGCTCAGCAATCTATATAAAGCACTGCAAGGAGATCCAGATTTGAATTCTCCTCATACCCTCACACCTGGGCCATTTAAAGAGCTTCAAATCATAGAAACTGCTTTCGCAAGTAACTGTTTCAAATTAGTTTGACTGCGCCTTTTACGCTAATCATACTGCCTGCTCCTCACTCTCCTACTGGAATTTTTGGATGGCTTTATCTTCCTAACAAGGATTTGACACACACCATACTGTGCTTCCTATTACTCTTGTACCACAGGTGTTGTGGCAGTCCTCAGAGATGGGAAAATGGGAGGGACCAGTTACCCTGTTGGCATGGGGTGGAGATTCACTTGAATTGCTGGAATGGACACACATTGTCCTCTAGAAGCATATGATCATGAAGAAGTCCTTTTCATGACATGGTCCTGAAGGAACTCAGCTCTCCTTTCCTTGATAAGATTTTTTCTGGCATAGAAAGAGATAGAACAGAATTAAAAATGCCCTTATTGAGGGCATGGAGAAGACCATAGTGGAAAGGAGGGACGTGGAGTTTCTGGGGAACTCTTTCGGGGGCCGAAGGCTAATAGGGCGAGGCTGGAGGCGGGGTTAAGGGGGTGGACTGCCTGGCATGGCAGACAGATTGGGCAGGAGCATGGGAAAAAGGAACAGGATATTACAAAAAGGGAAGTAGGAAGTCATAATTTCACTCCAAAGAAGGGTGGGGCTTAGCACATGGCCTAGAGTGGGCAGTGCCATATTGGTTCAGCAGCATGGTGACAAAGCAGGAGTCATGGAGGTAAGAAACCCATCACTCCTTACTAGTGAAAAATTTCCCTCAGATAACAATTGAAGAAAAACACTTAGGAAGCAGAAGGACTTGTTCATTGCTAGCACCTAGGTGAGAATAGAAGGCCTGGCAGCTACTGACGTCCCTCTGGAAGGTATCTCTGACTGTTGGTCACAGCTATAACCCTCCTGCAGCTGGAAGAAGCTAGCATGATTATCACCAATTACCCTTCATGACAGCTAAGGGTACCTCACCAGAGAGGGGGGTCAGTTAAGTTAATTATAATACAAGCAGTCAGATAGGGCTAGGCCCTCAAAAAGACCCAATACAGATATACTACAACCGTCCATGGCTATGTAGTCATTAAAGGTCATACCTCAAGACAAAAGAAAAAAATTATTACAGAAACATACTTCCCCAAGGGATAAACAGCAGTGATTGTTATCCGACTACTGGTATTGTGAAACAAAAAGGGGCAGAGGTGGGGGGTAGGAGGACTGAGGTCTAAATATCGTCCTCTGTGAGCACTGAGGAAGGCAGCCTCTAAGTGTGCTGACATGCTAGGGAAAAGGAAAAATAGCTGAGATCCTGTTGTTTTCTCAACAAGTGCCATGGATGGTGTGAGGCAAATGAGTACCGTGTAACTATAATTGCCTGTACCCCTGCCTGAGTGAGTGAAGCCAAGGTGTTGGCTTCTACAGTCTGCACCTTGTCAGCGGTCCCTAGACTGTAACAGTTACAACAGTTACAATGATACAGCAGTTACAACAGTTATGATGAAATACAGCATGGCAGAATAACCACAGCCCCAACAAAACAAACCACAGCATCCTAAAATAAATCAAACCAAGCAACACCCACTCACACACACATACACACACACACACACACACACACCATTTACTGTATTGAATCATCCTATGTCTATCACATTGCCAAGCAACTTTCATTTATTTCATTAGTTTTCTAACTATGGAAATGAGGAAATGGAGGCACAGAGGTTTAAATAAACTCTTAAAGTTTACACATCTATTAACTGATGGAATTTGTAAATACACAAATAAAAACAGATAACCTGATTTTAAAATCCAAATCCTTAACCAGTAAGATATAGTGCCTCTTGAAAGTGGTAACTGGAATATAAAAGAATGGTCTTTCAATTTATTTTCTTCAGATTAAGAAGTTACTTGAGCCAAGAGGTCTGTTAATTACAGTTGCGTAATTATAAAGTTTTATAAATGCATATGTATATATTATGGAGTTATTTGATCATTTTGTTAGATTCTTAGAAGAATCATACAAGAGGTCATAGTCTGAGTACCAATATTAAAGTTTCAGAATAGAAATCTTGCTCTACCTCAGGTATAGAATAATACAATTGAAAAGAGAATAAATGCCTCACTACTTTACCATTTGTTTCAATCTGAATTTTAAAAACATGTATTTATTTATACTAAGCAATCATGAAATCCTAACAGACATTCAGTCTACAATGAAAAGAATAGAACTCGGGTGCATTTGAGTGTTGTTTAATTTAATACTATTTTTTTAAGAAGTGTATTTCTTTTGAGAAAGAGGAAGCTTATCAGGAGAGAAGCTGTATAAATTATTTTCTTTGTGAACTCATCATCAAAAAAAATATAGAAATATAAAGCCTTTTGCAGTTGTACTTGACAGAATAAACTAAGGCCTTAGGACAAATAGAAGCTTTCTTAAGCCTTTTGCTTCCCTCCTGTGTTAAGATGTAAGCAGTGAGCTAGTTGTCTGTGCTCAGAAGCATTACATAGGAGCCAGCACTTCATGCTTTGTCTAATACATATGGATGTGGTAGGTTTCCATGTGGAAAGTAGCTCTGCCACTGGTGTAGGAGAGGAAATGAGTTGTTTCATTCTAAGCTAAGGCCAGGAAGGTCAGCAAGATGAATGCCCTTTATTTCATGATATGATAGCAACTGTGGCTGGAAGCTTAGGCTTCAATCCAAGCAGAACAAGAAAAAAAAAAAAATAGAGAAACATGAGACAGTGAAAACATAAAAGAAATCAATAGACTAAATGAGGTAATTTTTGTTTTTATTTTATTTTTGTATAATAAAGGAATTGGTTGTTATCTGACCTATAAAATCCATGAGAACTAAGTGAATATAACACCTCTCATTACCTAAATTTTCTCCAACACAATTATGGCATTAAAATATTAGTAATAGTAACAATTTAGGAAGCCAACAGCAATGGAATTAATGACCTACAGGGAGAATCATATCATGGAAGCTTAGATAGTCTGATTTTTCTTGTTCATAAGGAATTTTACTTCATACTTAATAGGAAAAGAAATGCCAAATAGCATTATATTTATGATTTTAGCATAAAATTTCTACATTGTCAAAAATGTTTACAGCCAAAAAGTTTAAACGTCTCAGAGTATCAATCTTCATAGCTTTCTTAAAATGTATTTATGGGGCTCTATATCATGCTACTGAATAATAAATTTGATGTAGATACTTGTAATGTCTAAAATAATATATAAATCTTTTAGAGAGTTTCATTTTTGTATATATTATGAAATCAATGCTTGATAACTGACACAAACATTAATTATACTGATTTCTAAACCAGTGGTTCTTTGATTTAGTGCTCAAATACTAAATTCACAAATGATTAAGAAAAATCTTTAGATATATTCACTATAGTAGGTTTGTCATTATTAATATAAACATGCTTTTCAAAATATTGAATATTCATATTATTAGATAATCTAGGATTTAAAAATATTAACTTTCCCTAATCTGGGATACATAAATCTTAAATATTAAATTTACACAAAAATAAATGTTAAGAGTTTAACTACATACTAAGAGACATTGGAAATATGAAGAAAGAAATTTAAAAATTGAATATAAAATTTGTTTGAAACAGAATATGAGTTGTGTAATTATTATGGTAAAAAAATAAGGTATCAAAAGTATATAATCTGTATACAGTCATAGACATACAGCATGGATTTTCCCTGGGCAGTTAAATGAAGCTTCTTAAAAGAGATTATGTATAAATTAAGCCTGGAGGAATAAATTGCTTGATCAAATCTATGTTTTGGTAAGATAATTCTGATACCAATATGAAGAATATATGAACACTGATAAAAGCTGCAGCCAAGAATATTTCATTTGCAACATTATAAAATTAAAATTAGAAAATACAGAGAAGACGAGTTATTGGTTCAATGAACACACAAATGCATATTAGCTACATTCAACATTTTTTACATGTTACCAAATTTGCTATATTTACATGAAATAATTCCTGATTCTACTGAAAATAAAGATTAAAAATTCATTAGTATTTGATTTACATGGATGATTATTAAAACCTTCTTAAAACAGTTCATACTCCATTGTTCATAAATGTTATTATTAAAAATAAATTTTATTAGTATTAAAAATGTATTTTATACTTTTTTCAATATTTATACATTGTATGAGAGATACCTCTGTAGCCTCCCTGAGTCCCAAAATTGACCTTTCTCCAACATTTTCCTCAAGGTATTGCTTTTTTAATTTTTATTTTTTTTTTATTTTAAAAATAAAAGGAGGAAACATTAACAGACGGACAACCTTCTACAAAATAGCAAAAGAACAGTATAGACAATACAGAGTTACAAACAAAGTGGCAGGAAATTAACAATCCTTGATGTGTTGTATATTGATATCTTCAAAGTGGTTTCTCATGAAAACAGGTAGAGACATGCAATATTGATCTATCAAGGACTCACTGACAGTTTCTTTCAGCAAAGAAATAGAAGACAGTAGAACAGCCATGTTAACTATCCTGTATATACATACATACAAACTTTCTCCTTCTTTCCCTTATCTTTTCCCACATCCCAGTTGCCCTTTACCCTTGAGTGTTTTCCTATTATTTCACAATGTCTGTCATACCTCCTAGTTTAAATTAACTCTCAGGTTTTACCTAGTGAAATAATGTGGTGCTTGCATATGTAGGTATGATTTATTTCACTTATGAGTATGGTCTCTGGTTATGACCATTTACCTATAAAGGCCTCGATCTTGCTTTATAGCTGAGTAATATTCCATTATATAAAAGTACCACAATTTTCTTACCCAATCGTTGGTGGATGGATATTTGGGTTGCTTCCACAATTTAACAGTTACAAATTGTGTTGCTATGAACATAGGTGCACATATATAGCTGTGATATGATGTTTTTAGATCTTCTAGGAAAATACCCAGAAGGGCAATAGCTGGGTTGAATGGAACCTCTCGACCTAGTTTGCTGAGGAATCCCCAAACTGATTTCCACAGCAGTTTCACCAGTTGCATTCCCACCAGCAGTGAAGAAGGGTTTCTATTTCTCCACAGCCTTGCTACCATTTGTTATTGGTTGATTTCTTAATGCTAGCCATTCTTACTGGGGTGAGATGGAATCTCAGTGTTGTTTTAATTTGCGTTTTTGGAATTACTAATGATGTTGAACATTTTCTCATGTATTTATTTGCCATTTGTATTTCCTTATCTGAGAAGTGTGTATTCATCTCCGCTGCCCATTTTTGGATTGGGTCTTTGAATTTGGAGGGGCTGATATTTTTTAATTCTTTATATATTCTAGATAGAAGCCCTTTGTCTGAGGGACGGTATTGTTTTTTTTTTTAAATAGACAATTGCTACTGTCTTGTAAAATGTCGCACAGTTGTATTCATCTCATTATCTCTTTGGATATGAATAAATGGAGTACTTCACCTCTTGTAGTTCCAAGAAAATGGAAGTTAGAGTTAAAGAATTGATTAGGTTCAGATGAAACTTTGTTTGATATTGACTAATCACATGCTATCAGGAAATATGTAATATCTGTGGACCATCTAGTATCAAATATTAAACTACTAATGTATTTGTTTCAAATAGCAATAAACATGTCTTTGAATTTTAAGGTACACAATTCACCTTGTGAGTAATAAAAACTGTTCAAGGTGTTATGTTAGGATCATATGACAGTAAATCTCTCACAGATTTGTATTTTTTAAATGAGATCATCATATATTGCCTACAAAAAACTAAATTTGTTATATTTCTACACAGTAAAAGTAAATAAGCATGGCAATGACATTTTAGTGACAGACATTTGGTGTTACCTGTAGAAAAATTGGAAGCATTTCTGTTATCTAAAATATGCACAATGCCACACTGATCTCAGTGCCCTCTCTAAAATTTTCTGCTCATAATCTGGGCCTGAATCAACTATTTGAAACTAAGATTGGTCTTTAGACCAACCTAACCCCTAAACCAAAAGGAATATAAAATAGAATCATAAAAACACCATTACTTTTATATTAGTCTAAAAGAAAGTCAAGATAAAGGGAAAAATGAAATAATGATGGAACATATAAAAACAGCAAGAAGGTACATTCAAATCTCACCATATCAATATTCACATCATTGTAAATTGTCTAAATAACTAAAAGCAGAGACTTCCAGACTGGATAAATGAAGCTTGTATAAGAGAATGCCTCAGCAAATCCAGTCTTAGCAACTGTGGAACAACTTAAACTCTCATGCACAGCTACTGGCAAGGTGAAATGGTACAAGCATTTGAAAATTTGTTGACAGTCTCACTAAATTTACAGAGATATCTACCATAATCTTCAGCCATTCTCTTATTTCTGTTTACTAAAAAGAAAAAAAAGAGTATACCACACCAA